AGTTAATACTGCAATTTGATTGGTCAAAATTGTGTTTTTTTTACATACAAAATTTTAAAAAATAGAGGGGGGGGGGGGGGGGGGTTATGTTAAACAGAGAATCAAATTGGCCTGGCCTTAATTGTAATAAGCTTTGGTTTATAGATCGTATAAATTTAGGTTTATTAATATCGCTTTCACCACACTTTACATGTATCTATCTTTTGCATATATGAGTTATTTATTAATTTAAAAGCTTTGTATTAATATTTATTTATTTTTATAATTATATAGTTTAATAATATTCATCTTGCATTATTTTTATATTTGAATTGTTTGGTTTTAAAATAAAGTATATATTATTATAACTAATATCCAAATTCTTCAGAGTATTATTCTTGCAAAGTGCATTTTCTAACTCTTTTCCTCCCTCAGATCCAAGATTGTTACTTCTAATATTCAAATAAATTAGTGTGGTGTTTTTGCAAAGTGCATTAGCTAACGCTTTTCCTTCATCTAATCCAAGATTATTATCCCAAAGATACAAAGAATTAAGTGTGGTGTTTTCGCAAAGCGCATCAGCTAATGCTTTTCCTCCCTCCGATCTAAGGTTATTACCTCCAAGATTCAAAGAAGTTAGGGTAATGTTCTTGCAAAGTGCATCAGCTAATGCTTTTCCTTCTTCTGATCCAAGATTATTACAATAAAGACTCAAAGAAGTCAGCGTGTTGTTTTTACAAAGTGCATCAGCTAATGCTTTTCCTCCTTCTGGTCCAATGTAATTATATCGAAGACCCAAAGAAGTAAGCGTGGTGTTCTTGCAAAGTGCATCAGCCAATGCTTTTCCTCCTTCTGATCCAAGAATATTATATCCAAGATCCAAAGAAGTAAGTGTGGTGTTTTTGCAAAGTGCATTAGCCAATGCTTTTCCTCCTTCTGGACCAAGGTTATTATTATGAAGATCCAAAGAAGTAAGCGTGATGTTCTTGCAAAGTGCATCAGCTAATGCTTTTCCTCCTTCTGGACCAAGATTATTATATCCAAGATTCAAAGAAGTTAGAGTGGTGCTTTTGCAAAATGCATCAGCTAATGCTTTTCTTCCCTCTGATCCAAGTTTATTACAATAAAGACTCAAAGAAGTCAACGTGGTGTTTTTACAAAGTGCATCAGCTAATGCTTCTCTATCTTCTGGATCAAGATTATTATATTGAAGATCCAAAGAAGTAAGCGTGATGTTCTTGGAAAGTGCATCAGCTAATGCTTTTCCTCCCTCCGATCCAAGATTATTATGTTCAAGATTCAAAGAAGTTAGGGTAATGTTCTTGCAAAGTGCATCAGCTAATGCTTTTCCATCTTTTGGACCAAGATTATTACATTGAAGATCCAAAGAAGTAAGCGTAGTGTTCTTGCAAAGTGCATCAGCTAATGCTTTTCCTCCCTCCGATCCAAGATTATTGTATTGAAGATTCAAAGAGGTAAGCGTGGTATTCTTACAAAGTGCATCAGCTAATTCTTTTCCTCCCTCCGATCCAAGATTATTACGTCCAAGATTCAAAGAAGTTAGGGTAATGTTCTTGCAAAGTGCATCAGCTAATTCTTTTCCTCCCTTTGATCCAAGTTTATTACAATCAAGACTCAAAGAAGTCAGCGTGGTGTTTTTGCAAAGTACATCAGCTAATGCTTTTCCATCTTCTGGATCAAGATTATTATATTGAAGATCCAAATAAGTAAGTGAGGTGTTCTTGCAAAGTGCATCAGATAAAGTTTTTCCAGCTAATATTTTCCCACCACTTTCTGGCCTAAAATTACTACTAGCAAGGTTCAAATCTTTAAGATTCTTACTCGTTCGTAGAAACATTGCAATTAAAGAACATTTAATTGCATTTTCAAGCTTATCTTCTGTTTTATTTTCTTGATTATGAAGCCAATTCCTAACTCCATTCTGTAAATGATAGGCGTTAACAGATGTGATATAACTTGTATATTCAAATAGTGGTTTTAGATGACTTGGAAGGGTAATTTTGAAAGGAATTAATAGAGCTTGTTCTTCAGCATTTAACGTTAAGAGGAATATTTTTATAAATCTTAAATCGTCAAAATGGAGTGGTTCACTCCACAATATTGGTATAATAATTCTACACCATTTACGATTTACAAGAGCACATGAAAATAAGGTTTTATAATCATTCCGGAGATTATTAAATACTAGGTAATAACATTCATTCGGCAATGTTTTCATATTGAAAAATTTTTTAGTACATTATCTGTTATCTGTTATGTATGTACGTACGTACGTAAATCCTGGATTTTTACTCCGGAATAATGTGAAACGTTACTAAAGACCCAAATTAGAAAGATCGTAACAAGACACCAATTTTTTGGTACTTTTTTTTTTTAGGGTTTGGGTCAGCTTTAGGGTAGAATTGATAATAATGGGTTTTAGGGGTTATTTGCATTTATTTGATTCATCTGACGGTCAAACCCTAAATTTAATTAAAAGTGGATGGACAAATGGGTAGGCCATTTACTCGACATTACATAGGATTAGGGTTAACGTTTGATTAGTTACAGGGATATTGTTAATAAATTATTACTTGAGCATGATGTCGACTAAATGAGCTATCGGTGAAATGATTGAAGAAGTAAAACGGAACTATTTATGATAATATCTATGTATTGGTATATTTGAGGTGTATTATGTGACCTTATGAGGCATAATAATTACTCGTCCTGTAAAGTCATTTTCAAGGCAAAAACTTAAAGAATCTTATTGCGTTTTAATTTATTTGCAGTAATTAGAATTTTAAACAGTGCATCCAAATAAGCATAGTAAATGGTTTTGATTCTGATCACTGGATTATGAGATATCCCGATTCATCATAATATCTTTAGCTATTGTATTCTATATATATCGATATTATGACGAATCTGGATTATCTCATGATCCTGTGATCAGAATTGAATAAAATTTACACTATTCAATCCCTCTTGCCGAGAAGAATCGAATGGTATAAATTTCATCCAATTCTGATTATCGAATCCCGATTCATTATAATATCCTCCTTTGTCATAATACCCTCTCTTCCTTATATATAACTTTATATTAACCTTTAATTTATTTATTTTAATATAAATATTATACATGTTGTAAGTGGAAATAAAATTTAAATAGTTTCGGAATTTATATAAAAAAACTCCCATTTCGGGGTTGATTTTATCATATTTACACCCATACCCTAACCCTAATTTAACCAGAAAATTCCAAAACCACTTAAATTCCATTCCCACTTACAACATTAATTTTTTTTTTCTTTTTCAAAGCAGTCATACCACAACTTTATTACTTAAGAGATTAGACAGAGCAATTCATATGAGCCTTACAACATTAATTAAATTATTAATTAATCTTTGTGAATTTAAAGTTAAAAATAAAATAACAATATCAATTCAAAATAAAGCATCTTGATCTTCAAAAATATCAATAAGTTTTTTGATAGCAATACTACTTTCAGATAAAAGAGATTCTTTTACAAAAAAATTTGCAAGTTGGTATAAATAAGAATGAATCTAAAAAATAAATCAAAGCTATAAGTTTCACCTAATTTTAACTAGTAAAGAAGAAAGTGTTAGATTTTCTTTAAGTAAGTAACTAACTATTTTTTTTTTCTTGTATTTGAATTAATAAAAAGCATTTTAATAAGTATAACAAGTTTATTAACAAGAAAAAATTTAGAAAATTCAATTAATACTTTTTAATTAAATTGTATATATAAGTTAAACATAAATTGTGTCAAATTTTAAAATAAATTAAAGAAATATTATAATATATATTCTTTATATAAAATGTACTATCACTAATAAACATAATAATATTCTCAATTAAAATATTATAAAAAGAAAAAGTTGATATAAAATAATTAAGAAATTGGTACATTGTTAACTACTGATAAATACTTTGTTGCAACTAACTTAGTTTTATTATTATAACTAAATAAGATATTAACAACACTATGGCTATATATACTGTATTAGTTGTTTTATTTATTATTACTGGAATTTTTTTTGATAAATTTCAGATTTTAAAGATTATATTGCTATGAAAAAGCTAGTGCTAGATATTTTTTACAAAGTTGGTTTGGTCTAACAATTGTACTATTGTTATGAGATGAATCATATATTCAAAAATCTATAATATTAAATATAGACTTTTATAATATAAGGCAACTCACCAGAGACATGATGTTGGTGATTTGGTTAATTATAATATAAGGAATTATTATCAAGTTAGTGATTTTATTTGCACATAAGTGTCATAACCAACCTTATCTAAGTTATATCTTTTATATAATATTAAAGAACTAATGAAGTTTAAACAAAACTTATTTTATTGTATAGTGGCTTAATTTCTATTGGCTGAAATCTGCTTATCACTAAGACATATTATAAATTATCTAAGCCTTCAGCTCTAAATTATAAACTTGTTTGACTATAATATTAATCTAACCTGTAATACTATCTATATTACTATATTTCTTTGACATGTATATTCAAAGTATTTCTATAGTTTATATTATGTATCTGGGTACTTGTATAAGAAGAATATGCTATATAAATACTTTTACATTTCTAATAGATTTTACTATTAAATAATTGGGTACAAAAGTGTAATACCTTATACTTATATACCCAGATATAAATTAAAAATTTGGCTTTAAAACTATTGCAGAATATAGTATACAGAAAGTATATATATATATATATATAATTTTTTTTTTAATTCTTTGACAGTCTTGTCGGTGCTCAAATACAAATTATATTACTATTAGACTAAAAACAAGGTTTAAAAATTCTAATAATATCTAATTAAAAATTGCAAGCCTGGCATCACCCGGCTACATCATGTGCGCCCAGATGCAACTTGTCGCACCAACCTACATGTGGGTTGGAAGACCTTGTTAGCTCTATCAAGAACTAAACCAAAATGGGGTTGATCCATTCTCAACCCATTCAACAACACCCTTCTCAAATAACTGAATAACTTCTGCTTCTTTCTCATTACTTATTAACTTAACTGCACCACTCATCTTACCTTTACTCTTGTTTTTTCCACCTCTCAATAGTAAACTTTTGACGATATTAGCACCATCTTTAACAGGACTTTTCGGGTTACTTCTCTTTATTGCAACTGCATTACATCTAATTCGCCAAATTTCATCAGAAAGCTACTTTCTACAACTACTAAGTGCCAGGTTTACAATCTTCTTAGGTAGCTCTAAGTCTAACAACTCAGCCACCATGTCGTTGGGTATAAGTCCTCTAATATAGTCTTTTCTTCACTTGAGCTTCTTCTCAGTTGTATTATCGCCAATTAATAGACCAAACCTCTCAACAGATATTGTTCGTTTATGTGTATGATCTAACTTCTTCCATGCGAGTAAGCATGCAACCTCCTCTACAATACTCCAGTAATTGACATGCTACCAGATAGTCAGAATCTTCTTTTGCACATTTGCAACTTACACATGTATCATCTACATATATTTTGGGTTTTCTTCTCTTCAGTGCAGTCAGAACTGGTAAGCTGTCGTTAATACATTTAATTCAGAAGGCTATATTTCTGCTAGCTACATGTGACTTGCACCTAATTCCAGTTGCTTTCTTGTTCTGACGCCACAACGCCTTCCAGCTATGATTTGAATCTATCTTATTCTCATATGTTCTGATAGCATTCAAGTTACGCCACTCTGCACCAGTTTAGAAACTCATCAACGTCTTGACTAGTTTTCTTGTTATAACCTCCACTGGTGTTTCATTGAGATGAACTGAAAATCTTTTGCAATGATTTTTCTCCAAAGGTAATATCAAGCACCAAGATAAGCGGGAGCCTTCTTTAGCTAATTGGTCTGCTCTTTTTTTTCCATTTTACCTTATTATGTACTTTTACTTTGACCAACAGAAGAACTAAACCCTTTGAACTACATATATCTTTAATCTTCACTACTAGACTAGCATTCTGCTTCTTACTCCACACTCTTATATCTGTAAGCGACGTTGTGTCTTCTAGGCTTGCAATTGCCGCAGCACTATCTAATTTGACTACAACCTCACTTCTGCACCTGGCTATCAAAACTACCATTAACACCGCAACTAGCTCAGCCTTTGTTGATGATGGCCATTTACCAAATCTGATTTTTCCCTCTGCAAGTATCGTTTCCTCCAAATTGTCTACCTGCACCCATCCTACAATCTACGCTACTTTTAATCAAAGACCCATCTGTATAATATATACTACTATCTATATTTCTACTACAATTTCCCTCCACTTGCTGTATTAACAGCGCTTTAAGCTCTTAATCAAAACCCTGCTCTATAATTAAACTTTTTTCATGAAAGTCCATTACTACTACACTACATACTTCTCTTTCGCTTTCTCTTTAGTTAAACTACCACTCTCTGACCTGAAACCTTTAATCTCTCTTAGCAGCAATAGCACTTTCTTTTCATCATCAATGTTTATCTTGGGAATTGCCCCTAAAATCTTGTTCTTTTTCACCCATTGTTGACAAATATCGATCTTAGCAACTTGACTTAACTTACAACGTTTGCACTCTCTTAAAACACCTTTACTATAAGTTGAGGTCTCGGGAACCCAGTGATTGACTAACACCTATAACTTTTTTTTCTTCCTTATTCTACCAACTATTGACTCTGAGTTCTCTTTGTTGATGATTACTTACTCATGATATTTTCGATTATCAGACAACTTTCCTGCCTTTGTTTGCATAAACATTGTATTCTCTTCTGGCAACTTAAAACGGTCAATTATCTCTCTACTTTTCATACACTCAATTACCTTCTTCTCTATTATGTTAAACCATTTCGCTTTGCGGCCTTTCAATGTCTTTGTTCTCAATGCACAAAGCTTATTTCATGTTATCATCCTCGTACTTGTTATATCAATCAACTGGTTTATATAGAATAAGTTAAAGCTTCTAATACTGCTATGGTAGGCGCTATAAAATTTCTCGCCCATTACTTCAACTAATGTTGGACCTGTATCACAAACTTGCCACTTTTCAGTATTAGCACGAATCGACACACCTAACTCATTTGCTTTAACTAAAATTGACCTAGCCAGATTGTTCTTCCAGACCTTTTTAAGATACCGATTTTGAGATTTTGGCCAACTCTCTTTAACTAACCCAGCCAATGTGTACCTCTCATTTAGTCTTAATCATGTCATCTTCCCTACTTGATCTAATTTATTAAGCCTGTTTTGCAAGCATACTACTTGTTTGCTAAATAACTCCTGACTCAAGAATCTACAACGACCTAACCTTTGATGCATTACTATATAATTGCCTGCTGTTGCTAGCAAACCTATTTTGTTTTTAATTAGTTTTTTTTTTCCGGTATTAAGGTAACCCTTTGGCCGGGAAACGTTTTATTAGATAGTTATGTTTTTCAATTACAGTAAGGGTACATATAGCCACACGTGCACCTTTTGAGTGCCTAATTT